GGGTTACCAACCAATCATCATCGTCCATAAAATACAGCAGTTATTGCATACTTCGTATGCAATAACTATATAATATCCTATTACAGTAATTATCTATCGCCATTTTTATTATATATGCTTTTTTTTAAAAAAAAGGGTCAAAAATATTTACATAAAATTTTCATAGTACGCATATAATAAAAAAAATACAACTAATCCGAACATAAACAAAATTCTCGTACTATTTCTTTGTTTAGACTAATATAGAATCATGTAATGAATAATAATCATCATACCATTGTTCAGAATCGGAATATTTCAAAGAATATGAATCAGCGTCACCACATTTTACGGTTTCGTACTTTCTATAATTACGGTATGGTGGATACCCATATGACATTGAATCGTATCCTAAACCATCAATTTCAAATCCTTTATGAAAAGAGAAAAAATAAAAGAAAAATAGTAGTCATATATATATGTATGATAAAGTGTCATTTTTACGTTTGAAATTTACGTTTGAAATGAAATGAATTCTTTTTTTTAAAACTGACCATCTTCTAAATAAATACTTTCAAGGGCAATTAACAAATATTTATAAGTGAAGCATATTGTGACGAATATAATTATTGAAATTACGTAGAATTTGATAGTATTCATTTCTTTTTTCTTTATACTCCTTTTTTTAATGGTTAATATGGATTTGTCTGGAGACAGAAAAAACGCAAGAAAGATTTTAATACTGTAAATTTAAAAATAATAAAGTTTTAAGTATTTTTTGAGGCTTATTAAGGGTGGCTTAAACAGCAAAGCCCTGACATACAAATATTATGCATCGATTCGTTCTATCGTTATATAAAAAATACTTATATAATTTTCCTTTTTTTTGAAAAAATCACTACGTGTCATTTGTTCTGTACGTACGATTTCGCGAACTAAAAAATAGCCTAATGCAGTATCATATAGCAAGTAATGTAAGCCACGAAGAATTATGCAATACAATTAATAAAATTTAAATTTCGGTGTCATATGAACAAATATAGGCATCGATATCGATATATATTAATTTTTGCTTAATAAGCCACATTATATGTCTTAGCAATTTAAGTGAATGTTAATAAAAGAAACTTCCTCCTCTGAGTTACGTAGAATATGCTTATTTTTTGTATTTTATTTGAATTCCTTTTATTCTATAATTCTATGATATAATAGAAAGTTAAATTTACTTTTATATAATAAATTATAAAAAGGACTCAATTGACAACTTTGAAAATTTACCAACTGTAAATGATTTCTTGTGATCCAATCAAGGTGACTAACGATAGTTTATTCTACAATTATAGTCAAAATTTTACATGATTATTTGAGAAAACTTATCAGTCTCACGAATATCAAGAGTTAAATATATTTAAATGCATCATAAGTTATATAACACTTATATTGTCACGGTGAAATAGTGTTAGATTATCACGATGACAGGCTTGATGACAGATTTAATATAATTTATCGGATTTTGTGATACATAATAAATAGATTTAGTATAATGAACTATAATAAATGATATCGATATAATTGATAAAAGGTTAAATGTACAGTATATAAATAAAGCGAAAAAATAAAATAACAATCGTTCGCTAACGTTTGGTTATCATTATCGCGAGGTACTAAAATTCATTATGTCTATGATCTCTATCGTTATATTATTTTATTATGCTTTTTTTTTTATTCATTAACGAATGCTACGTATTTACGTACCATGGTTGTACATTTATTATTAAACTTTCTTATTTTGGTATATAGTTATCGTTATGAAAATGATGAGTAGGTCATTACCAACAGAAATAAATGCACCAGCTATACTTATAGTTGGAAAAACAGGTATTAATTTGTATCATGATTTTTTATTTCTATTACAGTATTTCATTTTTTTTTAGTTAATATTAATTTAATTGTTAGGTGCTGGAAAAAGTACATTGGGAAACTACTTATTAAATATTCCTGGAGAAGAAAATCCATTCTTTGATGTTTCAGATAGTTTTGTAAGTATAATCATAGTTATTAAATTTGAATTAAATTTTAAATTTGGTGTTTAGTTAAAACTTTTAAATTTTAGGATTCAGCTACAAAATTATCTAAATTTGCATTTCTTGAAATAAATGATAAACCTTATAACGTTATTGATACACCAGGAATTTTTGATACAAATGATATAAATGATGCAACCACGAAAGAAATCGTACGTACGATGGTACATTGTTCTTCTGGAATCAAGGCCATATTATTCGTATTTGGTGAGTTTATTTTACTTATGATAGAGTCAATACGTACAAAATTAAAGTCTGAATTAATCATTTTACAGAAGCGAAACGACTTACTAAAGAACAAAAAGATGTTATTGATGGAATAGTTACACTTTTCGGAAAGAAATCATTACAATACATGATTGCGGTATTTTCGAATTGTAATGCAAAACGAACTGAAGATACTGATCAATTTAAAATGTCATGGAACGAAGAAATTCGTGCCTTTGTTAACTCCATAGGCTCTCGGTGGGCCATTTCTCCGAATTCTGATATTTTTCCATCTGATCACCCAGTACATCAATCGCATATTAATAAATTGCGAGATATCATTGATAAAATAGATGGTGTATTAACTAATGATATTCTTGATGAGATTCGAAAAGAGCGAGAGGATGCTGTACGAAGCGCGAAAGAGGCAGAAGAAAGACGGCAAATAGAATATGAGATGTTAAAAAAGATAGCTGAAGAAGTAGCTGAAAGATTGGCATGTTTAGAGAAGAAAGCAGAAGATGATGAAAAAGAAATTAAAGACATTAGACATATGATGGCAGATTCTATCAATCTACTTAAATCGAAAGGTTGTTTCTGGCTAGGAACACGAATCATGCTTGCATCTGGAAGAATTATCCAAATGTCTGAACTCCAAGTAGGAGATAAAGTATTATCAAATATTAGGAATGGCATTGCTGAATTTTCTGAAGTTTATCTTATTGCTCACATTGGTAAACTCGAACATAAAGCCAAGTTTGCTAAAATTAGATTCACCAAACCAGATGGTTCTAAAGGTATTTTATATATATTTATTAATAACAGAGTTAACAATTGAATTAATGTTTAACGTATTTCTTTTTTTTTTTTTTTTTTTTATTATTATTATTTATTTATTTATTATTTATTTGTTTTTTTTATTTGGTTTTTTTTTTATTTTAGGTCAATTAATGCTAACAACCACACATTACGTCTTCCTTGAAGATTTATCGATAGCATTCGCCAAAAATCTGCAGCCAGGAAAAACCAAAATATTAATATTAGATAATAAAAATAAACTAACACCAGTTCTTGTAGATGATGTTACAAACGTTAGTTAAACTAATTTTATTATTGTTTTTTTCTAAATTATTGCTTATTTGACATACGTTTTCCTCAATTTTTTTTAGGAATGGCATGACAGATATATTAGTTTTTACACACGAGATGGTACAGTAATTGCTGATGGAGTATTATGCTCGTGTTACGATCATTGTCCACCATCTCAAATGATCATGGATTTGGCTTTTCTACCGATTCGCTGGTGGACTCTTATCGTACCTAGTACGCATCGCGATGAAAATCTTCATCCATATGTTCAGTTCTTGGAAACTTTATACCTTTCATTTGTTCACTTTAAGAAATGGGTTGAACAATTCACTGTACAGATTTTATCTGATCAGATAAGAAAAGTCTGATTCAATAATATTATGCAAATAATTATTCTTGATAGGTTCTTCAATAAAATAATGTTTAATGTTGAAACATTAATACCGACATGCATATTATTAGAATAGGTTAGGTTTGTTGTTGTTTGTAGAGTTCTAATGGGGATGTGATAGATTAGATTTCTACGTGTTTATGTCTTCCCCCTATTCTATCGCCATTTTGGTTTTTTTTTGATTATTTCTACGTGTTTATGTCTTCCCCCTATTCTATCGCCATTTTGGTTTTTTTTTGATTCAACGTTAACGCCAATTTGTTTTTAGTTAACAGCCTTGACTGAACATTTAACAGTTTTCTAAATCTAGGCTATATAAATTCTTAAACCAAATTTGTATAACGGCACGTACCGTAAAAAAAAACAATGCCGTATTACACGGGTACATGTACCCAGGTTTGAAAATTCGTTGTGCATGTATTGTTTTTTGCACAAAAGATTAACAATTATTGTGCAGTATGCGCAATAACATTCCTGTATTCCTGTATAAAAAAATTTTTTTGCATGTACCCTGGTATTGGTCTTAAATACAAATCTAAAAAAACGGTACGAAATATTAACATAAATTTTGTCTTAAAGTAAGATGACATTTTAACAAATTAAAAATGAAAAATTAATAAAACTGTGTAGTAATTCTTGAGAAAATGGGTCGATATTATTGAATTTTGGTTAAAGTTAAGGTTAGATAAGAAATAATGAAAGATATATAAGGTAGGGTACGCATGTACTAAATCGAAAATGTATAGTAACCTTAGAATTCCAAAAAATCTCGACCATATTCATTTTTCATTAAGAGACAAATTCGCTTGAGAATGAAATGAATTACTTTTTTTAAAAAAGGTTTCGGGAATATCGATATCGATATAGCGTTAGCGAATTTAGCATTTTGAAACATGCGATACCCCTACACTCCTTGTACGTAAATCGTTATTATTATATAATTTATGTATTAAATAACCAAGTTTTAATGATATCTAATTACACACGGGCCCCAGTTTCTTATGTCTCAATAATTGAATTAAAAAGGCTATATTTAGTTCTAACGCTAACCGCCTTTTTTTATTAAAGCAAACCTAATTCGTGAAATGGTCTGAATTTTTAAACCAATGAATGTCCCTAAGATTAATAATCTAAACTAATCTCAAGTTAAGACAATAAATTGGTCATAAAGTTTAAAATTTGATGCGTATTCAATTTTTTTATCATTTATTAAAATTTCATACGTATACGTTATATATTCGGTTCGAATTAATGATCAGATTTAATTCTGAATAACGATAAATTTATATAAACTATTTTTTTCAAAAAAGTACTCCTACTTCATTTTTTGATTTCCGAATTTCCAAACTAGAAATCTAATGGGATTTCTTTACATGTGTAGGTACCTAAATCATGACTGATATTATTGAAACAATTACAAATGGGATTCAATTTAGTTAAATGGCACAAATTAGTACGTACGTACAGTATGTATTTAGATAACAAAAATTCACGTATTTTGGCGTTAACAGTTAAATTCAATTATTATTATTGTTAAATTATAGGTTAATACAGCATACGTATGTATATATGTATGTGAATGGCTTAAAATTGTATCAAAATTACTTATTTTGACTTATTTTGTACGAATGAGTAATATATCGTTATCGTTATCGAATATCAGTTATATAAAAGAGTGCATTTGATGCAGTTAAGCCGTTTGTATTACGGTATAGATTCACCTGATTTTATATAATCAAGATACTAGCAGCATTATAAAAGATTGGCCAATGAATTATCACACATCGTATCAGTATCGGGTATCGATATGCAAAAAAAATAATAATAATTGTACGTTGTACATATCTAAATAATAATCTGCAAAAGATGTTTAGACAATTATTAACTTCGGTTTATTCTAAAAGATTTCAACAATTTAAATGTGTAAAAACTTTATCCTTTCACATTTACCCATTAATTCCAATAAAAAATGATCAAAAACGTTTATATCAAATATCTAAAAAATCGAATTATGATAATTCAAATATCATTTACACTGGTCCATTAGCTCAAACTGCGAAAAAATTAAAGACTTTTTCTATAATTACTTTGGCCATTACCTTCGCTAGTACTCCTATATTTTTTATGGTGGATACTGCTATGGTTTCAAGTGCTCGAGTAATTATGGTATTATTTTGTAAGTAATGGTTTGATTTATAAAAAATCTGAAATGTTTGACATAATTTTTTTTTTAAAAAAAAAAACTGACGAAATTTATGCAGTAATTTCGACAAGTGCCGCATCTACTGGTCTAATTCATTGGTGCGTCTCTCCTTATGTTTCAAGAATTTATCATAATTTATCTTCAAAAAATAATCATGAAAATGAAAAATCTGAAAAAGTAACAACTTCAATTACACCCGATTCTTTTTTAACTTTTGAAACACTTAACTTGTTTGGAAAACCTCATTTTACAACTCTTCAAGTTAAATCACTTGAACCATCTACTAGAATTTTTACAAATTGGAAAGTTAAGAAACAATTCGAAAATAATATTTTTGGATTAACGATGTCTGAAAAAAAAACAAATGCAAAACGTCTCTTTTATATACATCCTGAAATACGCGAAAATAATTTGATGCTACAATTCTTTAATTCCTTAAATTAATCAATATAAGTTATATATTGTTATTTATTTTTTTTATTTATTATTTGAACTTGCAGACTTTTTTAATATCAATAAAAAAAGTGCCAATCAACAATCATTTTACAATCACCTGAGTAACTTTTCAAAAGGATGTTACACTAGCGTTGGTAGTCGGAAATTCTGCTCCATAAAGTATATCACATGATAAATGTTTCATTTTATTTTTCATATTTCATATATTTCGAATTCATTCTAAAGTTCATTATGGATACTGAATATTGGAGAAAAGATGGTGAATATCCGTCATCATATATGCATATTAAACAAGAGCCGCAAGATTACCCTCAAGGTTCTTTAAATTTTAATTTATTTAAAAATTAATAAACTTGATCGTTAACTTTATTATATTATAGAAACTTCAACGCGAGCTTCAGAATTAGCTTCAAATTTTTTGTCTAACCTTTCTTTGACTCCAAAGATGGAATCTAATTATATCAAACAAGAAGCTGAAACAACTCCTGACAAGGGTATGTGCTTTTTAACAAAGTTAAACTTTCTCCTATTTTTTTTTTTTTTTTTTTATTAAATTTGTTGAAAGGAGGGAAAAAGTAAAAGTACGATTCCTACACAAAAAGAAAAAAAAACAACCTAGATTTACTATATTTTATTCTTACACAAATATATCCCTTATTTATTCTCTTTTATCTGAACAAAATTTTTTGGGATAATAGTAACTAATGTTATGTTGTAATCGCTCTTTTTTTCCTTTTTTTTTTTTTCTCTTTTTATTGTGGTCGATTATCACGCTTAGTACGTTTAGTGGGTTCTCTTTCCTATGATAGTTCCAACAAGAGAAAAATCAAAGATGTTTTGGCATAATTGATCATTTTTTTGTTATTTTTTTTTTTCTACTTACTTTTATCCGTGAATACGAAATGTTTTTTTTTCGTTTTTTATTTTATTATTATTTTTTTTTATTTTTTATATCCCCCTTGTTTTTTTTTTATTTTTATTTTTATTTTTAAGCAGCGCAGCTTAACTTCGATCCTGTTGCATATGTTTGCATGAAAGATTCCGGGCAGATTCGATCCATTTGGACCTTCTCTCACTCTCTTTTTTAGGTCATACTAATGAGACTTAAATCATAAAAATTATTTCTTCTTTTTATTGCTATATGTATGATTTTTGTCATACTATCGCTTTATAGCTTTTCGTTCACACGACGAACATACTTCTCATCGTGATCGGTCGCGTGATAGAAATGAACGACATCGATCTGTAAAAGAAGAGGATGACCGTGATCGCCGCGAAAAAAAACGTGATAGAGAAAGATCTGATAAAGATAGGGAAAGAGATAGAGATCGTGATAGGTCTGATCGTGATCGTGATAAAGATAGAGATCGTGGAGATCGTGAAAGGCGAAGAGAAAGAGAACGTAGTCGTGATAGAAATCGTCGTGAAAGAGAACGTGATGAAAAAGAAGATAGAGAGCGTAAAGCACGTCGTCCAAGAAAAAGGAGTCGAAGTCCTAGTAATAGGCGACGTAGTCGTAGTCCTAGACATCATTCTCGCTCTCGTTCAATAACCCCTATCAATAGGAGAAGAAGAAAGTTAAATAATTGGGATTTACCACCTCCAGGTTATGAGGGAATGACTGCTGAACAAGTTAAAGCTACAGGTAAACATTTATAAATATATAAATTTATTATTAATATTTTTTAATATTATTTAATATTATTATTTAATATTATTCATATTATTAATATTATAAATATTATAAATATTATAAATAATGAATAATTATCTTTACATTAACTTATTATTATTTTTTAAAAGGTCATTTTCCACTTCCTGGTCAGCCTGCGACCACTAGACCTACTACCCTTCCCACTTCTCCACTTATAGCTGGTATGGATCCTTCCAGAGCTGCTGCTATGATGATGGGAATGACCCATGAACTCCCTCCTCGACCGAAAGTAAGTCAGGGTGCTGCTGGTCCTGTTGCACAGACCGCATCTCTTGCAAGGCAAGCGAGACGCCTTTATGTTGGAAATATTCCTTATGGCATAGATGAGGTTTGTATTATATAATAATAATGTTATTGTTGCTATTATATTATTATTATTATTATTATTATTATTATTTCTTTTTTTACTTCATCATACTATCTTTTTAACTCTTTATTCATATTTATTTTAGAATGGCCTATCAGAATTCTTTAATTCAACAATGGTACAACTAAATATCACTACTGCACCAGGTCAGCCAGTTATAGCTGTTCAAATTAATCATGATAAAAATTATGCATTTGTAGAAGTAAGTTATTATATAATTCTAAAATAATGTGAATACTATAAAAATACTTATTTATACTTAATTATATACTTAATATAGTTTCGTGCTCCCGAAGAAGCCACAGCAGCGATGGCTTTTGATGGAATTACATTTCAAGGTCAGTCTTTAAAGATTCGACGTCCAAAAGATTATCAACCACCCCCTGGCCAAAATCTCGAACCTCCACCAATTCATGTTCCTGGCGTCGTTTCAACTAATGTACCTGATAGTCCGAATAAAATTTTCATTGGCGGTTTGCCTACATATTTGAATGATGAACAAGTTATGGAACTTTTGAAATCTTTTGGTGAACTCAGAGCTTTTAATTTAGTTAAAGATAGTTTAACAGGTGTATCCAAGGTGATTGATTATTTATTTATAGAATTTAATTTCTATAAATAAATTTTAAAATTACAAACTTATCTTTTATTATCCTTCATTATTATTGTTTTATTTTAATCGTTTATTAGGGTTTTGCTTTTTGTGAATACGTTGACCCGAGTGTAACTGATTTAGCTTGTCAAGGTTTAAATAATATGGAATTGGGTGATCGAAAACTTGTAGTTCAACGTGCTAGTGTTGGTTCTGCAAAGAATACAGGTGTAGCAAGTGTCCTACCTTCTTCTGTACTTATTCCTTCTGGTAATGGTGAAATGATTCCCACTACTGTTCTTCAATTACTTAATATGGTCACCCCTGAAGAATTAGTAGATGATGAAGAATATGAGGGTTTGTTAATATATCCTTTATTAAATAAATATATATATATATATTTATTATTACATTAAAAAAATTGATTTTAAATGTCGATCGTATAAATACTTTATTAGATATCGTTGATGATGTTCGTGAAGAATGTTCCAAGTTCGGTCGTGTGCTGGATATGAAAATTCCCCGACCTGGTAGTGGGTCAATATCAGGGGTTGGCAAGGTATGCTTTTTATTATATATATTTTTTTACATTATATCAATATTATATTTGTGATTTTTTGGAATTTCTTACTAATTTATGAAATTTTAGATTTTCGTACGTTTTGAGTCTATAGAAGCTGCTGGTGCTGCACTTCGAGCGCTTGCCGGTCGAAAATTCGCCGAACGCACTGTTTTGACATCATATATAGATGAGGAAATGTATTATGCAGAAGACTTTTAATTAATACTAGTTCCACACGTCACTACATGTCGCATTTTAATACAAAAAAAAAAAAAATTATATTCAAAAATGATTAAAAAAAAAACACATTGATACTATAGTGCGAGGCACTAGACCGGAAAAAAAAATTTTTAAAATAATCTTTCTTTAAAAGTTTTATTACAAAAAAATTTAAGGAAACAAACAAATTTTAATGTAAAAAAAGATGCAACCAGAATAAAAAGAACAATATATATATATATGTTTGTTCATTGTTCCAAGTTTTAACAAATTTGATTTTTTTATTTTGTGGTTTAATTGACTGAAACTAAAGTGCTAGCTTTAAATTTTGAAAAAAAATTCAGAAATTCTGTCATTTTTTTTTCAATATCCATTTACTGGACTAATGCCAGTCAAGTTTTACCTTTTTATTATAATGACCAAACTTAATAAAATTTTATTCAAAACTTATAATAAATTGTATATATATAATAAATATATCATACGTAACAGATGACTTGATTATTACATTTCTACGTATGGCATGCTAGAATTATATGTTATCTGTTATTAATTTTTACCTACACCTGATCTACGTACGTACAACGGGATGGTTTATGCGGTGAAACACTATTGTTGACAAAAAATAAGTTTAGAGAAAAACTTACTATATAACTTTATATATAAATGTTAAAGTTTATTTTTGTTTGTTATAATTGTTACGTATAACCTAATTGAATCTAGTATACGTATAATTAATATATCAGATATATATATAGAATTAATTCGCGAAAAAATTTTATTAGGTTCGCTATATACTATACTTTGCTATTGTATGGTCAATCAAAAAAACAATAAATTGATCATCAACTAATCAAATAGATGATTAGTGATGCTCTCACTACTTATCATAACGATAATTCTGTAGTTAAAAAAGTATTGCTCAAAAATGCCGCGAAAACGTAAGGAAATAGACACGTGTGGAAATCCTTTATTCTTGAAATGGCTGGGAGAATGGATGGAAAGTGCCAGTGCTGCTAATAATAAAGCCTTCTATACATATAAAAAGGTTTTATACTTTATATCCTTTCTTCTCTCTTTCTTAAAGAAATAAAGTTTCACAGACCTCGCTTATAGGCATATGACTCAATGTCAAAATATCCGTTACCATTTCAACACCCGGCTGAAGCAGCTATTCTTAGTGGTATTGGACCTGGAATTTGTCAAAGGCTGGAAATGAGACTTAAACAACATTGTGAAGAAACTGGCCAGCCTATTCCACAACGTCCTGGTGTGTTATTTTTTTTTTTATTTTTTTTTATTTTTAAAAAGCAATTAGAACCAGTTAAATATCGAATTATCCGTTTTTAGATGAATTGTCAACATCATCTAAATCAAAAAAATCAAGACAGAACTCTGAAGAGAGTTTAGGTTTCAATGATGAACCTGAACCTGAACCCAAAAGACAGAAAACTACTGCCGCTCCCAAAGCCTATGTTCCTAAATATCGATCAGGTGCCTATGCGATAATGCTAGCACTTTATAAATCATCAGAGATCGATTCAAACTTCAGTGTGACAAAGACAGATCTTATTAAAGAAGCGCAACGATATTGTGATGCTTCCTTTGATATACCAAGTGGAAAACAGAAATTTTATACAGCATGGAATTCTATGAAAACTTTACTTGACAAAAATTATGTTTGCAAAAATGGTTACCCTTCAAGGTTTTCATTAACGGAATCTGGTATGTTAATTGCTCGACAAATGGTGCAAACCGCTAGTTTACAAGGAAAAGATCCCTTTTCAAATTTGGTTCAGGTTGCAACATTATCCACATCATCATCCACATCATTCACACCATCCACTGCTTTAAATAATTTTAATCCCACATCATCCACATCATCATCCACATCATTCACACCATCCACTGCTTTAAATAATTTTAATCCCATAGCGTGGGAGCCCGGTACATTTGAAATAGTCTTGATTTTGGACACACGAGAAGTAAAATTAAAGAAAGATCGTGATTATATAAAAGATACTTTGCAAGATAAAGGTGTCTCTTTATCTGTAAGGAATTTAGAACTTGGTGATGTTATTTGGGTAGCACGAAAAAATACGGCTTTTTCACAAATGGAAGAACTTGTATTAGACTACATTTTGGAAAGAAAGCGAATGGATGATTTAGTTGGAAGTATAAAAGATGGTCGATTTAGAGAACAAAAGGTTTGTTGTTGTTATTAAATTCGTATTGCCATAAATTGTACATTGATATAGTAGAGTGTAGTAATTTTTTTTTCCTGTACAGTTTCGGCTTTCAAAATCTGGAGCAGGTCAAATAATTTACTTAATTGAAGATTATAATCTTGAAGAAGTAGCAGAGTTTGGAGATGCAGTTAAAACAGCTATGTCATCAATACAAATGTTAAATGGTTATTTCTTGAAACGGACTGCCACAATTGATCAAAGTATCGATTACTTGGTTAGAATGACTAGGATGCTTAAGAAAAAGTATGAGGTTTGTATACATTATTCAATAAATCATTCGGCTTTCGAATTTTATTTTTTGATGATAAATATATATTTTGTCTATTTATTTATAGAATACTTCCTTGTATGCTATTCCCGATAATATGATTTACCGCACCTCATTCTTGAACATGAAAAAGGATTTGGCTACATTATATCCAGACCGTACCTATCTTGTTACATATTCTTCTTACTCAGATCTTAATAGTAAAAGTAAACCTTTAACATTGAAAGATACGTTTGTAAGAATGCTCATGACTATAAGAGGAATCAGTGTTGACAAGGCAGCAGAAATAACTAAGATTTATCCAACTCCACGAAAGTTAATTGAAGAGTTTGATTCGTTGACTACCGAAAACGACAAAAAGAAAATGATTATGAATGCGTGTAATGGTATTATTCGTAGAAAAAAAATTGGACCAGCATTGAGTGATAAAATATATCAAATTTGGTTTGCAAATAATTATCATTCATTAGCTTAAGATAGGATTGGTTAAGTCCTTAGGTCTGGGACTTTAGGACCTGGTCTTTAAACCTGGTCTTTAAAGACCAAGTCTAAATTTAAGGAACTAGGGTCCTTAGGTCTTTAAAAAGTCCTAATATACAAATTTATAGTTGCATAATTCTGGACAGCCTAATCAATATATACAATAAAGTTTAAATGCATAGTTTAGGGATCATAATCATTTATTTAATGTATATAGTTATGTTATTACACATTCTAACGCTAATAGGTAAATGTCAATATGTACATTGTGAAGGGGTAACGTGAACTAGCCGCAGCAAAAAAAGTGATCTAAGCCATAAGTGGATTAAAATTTTTCTTAGTCAATAGTTGTCGTCACATTTTTTCAATAAATTTTGATTGACATGGTAACAAGGTCAGAAAAATAATTGAAGCAAAGCTCGGATGGTTCTAGTAGCTCACATATTATACATACCAAGGTGTTCGACTAAAAAATGACTAAAATTGTTCATATCTCAAAAATTTACGTATCCGATTTTGTACTCTAACACCTTTTTTTTGTGGAATTTTTCCTTATATTGTTAATTCATAATGCTAATGGAATTGATTATCACGTGTGCAGACAAAACCCTCTGCACGCGGAGTCTTTCTTCCTGCGTAGTGGTCATACTAATTGTTACAGGGAATTATTTCGTAATTGAATTAATTCCGTTAGTAATTCCAATGATACCACACTTGTGGATCGAGTGAGGAATTGTAGAATTAACGATCATTAAGAGCATATCATATACAGAGGCTCTTACCCAGGTCAGACAATACCGACCCGGGCGGGTCAGGTATTGACCCAGGTTATAACCCGGGTCAAACGGAAATTCATAAGGTTTTTGAAGTTAATCCTTAAAAGTTAATGCAACGACTCTAGAAAAATTTTCGATCATGCTCGTGACTTGAGTTCGCCCATTTTCTATGCGATCCCTCAAGAAGTTGACCCGCACGAGTCAGACGACCCGGATAAGAGCTTTATTATTTATAACGTCTTCTATATACCTATATAGTAAATTGTGTAATATGTATAGTGTTTTAGCCTATTTTAAATTCTGATCCGTTTGACCAGGGTAATAGCTCTAATTCGTAATTTCTGATCATTGAAAAGTCTGAATACTTCTCTTTCGCACTAATCATCTCATTCAGCTCGATAATAAGAATATTTGGTGCTCTTTTCGCGCTTATAAAAAAAAATTTATTAGCAATCTACTGATTAACAGTTACTAGGGCCACCGATTTTCTGCTGTGACAAACCCCAAATTCTGCCTGCTTCACAAGCCTGTTTATGCGAAATTATGCGAATAAATTTCTTATTTATGCTGTAAATTCTGCGATTTTTTAAACCTACGCCATAAATTCTGCTTATTGTACAGGTTTATATGATTATGTGACTTTTCATTTACGGGATTGTTACGTCAGACACCATGCAATAAGTTAGTTATTGTATTGGTATATTGAATACCCAGTTACACACACGGGTTCATATTTAAATCCAACAGAATATGAACTCGTGTGTAACTGGTCATTCACTACGACCCATACAATAACCATAAAGAATTTATACAATCGAACTTTTTTAAAAAATCCGACCTTAACTCTCCGCATCCTTCCGAGGAACACACTCGTGATTTAGGTTCACTGTATAATTTTGCTAAAAAATTTTACCGAATTATGTGAAATCTACTCTGATATGCCCAATATGCTATCGCATATGCTATGCGATAAAATCCATGTTAATGCGCATATTATGCTATCGCAGATTTTCGGTGGCCCTAGGCATGCCTAATTTTTTAGCCGTGCCCCGAACCCTACTGTCGCGTACTATTTTTGGGAGGGTCTCATCAATACGCGTAATCCCGTAATAACAGAAAAATTTTTTGTGGAAACTAGGACTTTATAAACCTCTCCTCACTTAACTTTCACAACTGACTTGTCAAATCCTGATTGTCTACGATTAGTGCTCATTTCAAGAGTTTATGAAATTGTTAAGACACTTTTACAAACGGCCATAAATTTTTCAACAAAAGAGAAGATTTGAATGAAATTTATTCTTTCAAGATTGCACATTTAATTGAAGGAGAAAAAGATTGTCTAACCAACAGAAATTTTCGTCGCGTATATTTTAGATATATGTTTAAATCATGGACGTGTTTAGGAATAAATTGAAAACCAACACTCGAAAATCTGTAGGTATACAGTATCCTCTAATAGTAAAACCCACTTTCCTTGATTGCCTTTGTGAGGCCATCTAGACTACTTGTTTTGATGCGATGCAGTGAAAGGGTGTATCGTTAGAAAACAGTATAAGGGTGGTTGTGGACGTTTCATATTGAAGGGTAAATTAGATCTGTTGCCACAAAGAATAACTATTCTTTGTGAGGTCAGACTGGACTTACACATGTTGGCAAAATTATAAATCTTAAAATCCCAAATATAATAAAATTCGTCCCAAATCCAAATCCCAATAGAATAAAATTCGTCCAAATCCCATCCCAAATAGAATAAATTCGTCCCAAATCCCATCCCAATAGAATAAGCAATTCCAAATCCTATCCCAAATAGAATAAGCAATTCCAAATCCTATCCCAAATAGATATAAATTATCCGTTGAATTAATATATTTAATAAACTTTTTATAATAAACATTCTAAATAAAAATTTTTTGTCAAACTTAACGAATTTTTACTATAAAAATTATTATCGTTATAGCTGAATTTTTCCTGCATGACTTGGCATTGGTTGCAATTGTGCAAGAGTAATTTTCTTTTAATCACGATGTGTAAATCGATTAACGTGAAAGTTTATTAAAAACAGCATCTCTGGGCGTATAAACATACCCATATGAATATCAATGCAACAAACTTATTACTTTATATTGAAGTATAAATTAAAATTAAATTTTACAAGAACTACAAAGTAATTTTCAATCAAAAAGTAGAGCTCTTACGGGTTAGCTTCTTGATGGTTCACATTTTTTACAGGAGGATCCCTAAATTTCCAGGCCGGAATGCATCGGGTTAGGGTCAGGGTTAGGGTTAGGATTAGTTAGCAGGAGCTATGGTAAAATTATCAGTAATGAACGACTAATAAAATTCTTAGTGATTCATATGGGCGGATCATGCTCATTTTGTGATATTAAAATAAAGGATGTAATTAAAATATGCTAAATACTATCTTATTGCAACGCGGGACTCAACAAAAAAAAAGTTTCATATGACACGACGATTTTTATTAAAAGTACTTTAAAAATTACAATTGACTACAGTATATAAAAAAAGATCGTCGCCAATCATATTTACAGCAAACTTCCCAACCCTAATTCTGGGCCGTGATTTTTATTTTTTGTTTAAAATGTTTAATTAATAGATTTATTTTAATACTATAATACAGTACAATAATGTAACTCAAGTTCTCAAAAGCCATTTTTCTGAAAGGAAATAAATTAGTCAGTATTTATTCTTTCTGAAAAATAGCTTTCGGAAATCGTACAGTAACCCTGATACAACACTGCAATAGGTGTCACGTAGTTTGCTAATTAGTAATACTAAAAATAAATATTTTGCTAAATAATTAGTAAATTTTTTCATACGCTTACAAAAAAAATTAATACTTCGGATTTTCGTATAGCAGTATGACTTAAAGTATGTTTATTTCAATTAAGAATTCTACACCTTACAGTATATTTTTGCGAAAATTTATTTAATCGTTCACACGAAATTATTTACTAAAAGTGCTAAAAATCAAAGAGCAAAACATTAGTATCAAAAAGCGAAAAGAATTATTTTAAGTAATCGATGCGTTAACGTAATAAAGTGTAAAGATGTATCAGATAAAGATTATCAAAAAATCACGATAATAAAGCAATCTAATTTTAGCAATTAGGCAATTAGAAAGTTTTGCTGATCAGCCAATCGAAACCAGGTCCACAATGAGGATATAAATGCTGAAATGTGGCCCGGTAATTAACGTTTTTAAAAAAACCCAATAATCTTGCACCCGTAATAATTCGCAAAAATGTCGTTAGCTACTTTCACGAGAATGAGACTTTCTTCAATTTGTAGACAAACTTTTTCCCCATTTAAGTTTGGAGGTCCAAAACCAAGGTATATTTAATGTTATCACACTAAAAGCTTCATTTGAACCAGTAAGTAACGACGATTTTTTAAAAAGTTACTTCTCGCACACCGCGTCTGTTCGATCTGAAATCTTGTCTTCTCTTAATACTCTATCTGAAGAGGAAGAAAGTATTCGCGATACAGGTAAAGGAATGTAATTTAAATGGCAAAATGCTATTGATATTTACCTAATTTTGCACTTATTTTCCTCCTTCGATAAAAGTTGCTCGCTTTGCTCAAGAAAAAATATTACCGAAAGTTCAAGAAATGGATGAAACAGAAAAACTTGATCAAGATATACTCAAAGGTCTTTTTGAACAAGGGGTTGGTTTGTCTTTTCTCTTTGTATCTCAAATATATAAATGTAAAATATTCCTTTACCAATTTTAATGTAAATTTCAGCTTATGGGCATTGAAGTAGAAGCTGATTACGGTGGTACCAACAGTTCATTCATGTCCACTGTTCTAGTAGTTGAAGGTTGGATATTAACTTCTTAAAAGCTTCCATCATTTTCTTTCGTCATTAACCTTCTGGTCTTCATAGAACTCGCTAAAGTTGATCCTTCAATTGGTGTAATTTGCGATGTTCAGGTTAGTTTATGTGATGCTTGGCGATGTCACGTGATCGGTTTTGTGGTTAAACAAACCAATCCGATGGCGATGGCTGCTGTTGACGAATGAAAATTCAAAACCTATATCACGTGGCACGGAATTGAAGATATAACCGCAATTCATATTAGATTTTATAATTTGATTGAAATTAATTGAGATTGAAATTTTTTCAGAACACGCTTGTCAATACGTTATTTCGACAGCATGGTAGTGACCATTTGAAAAAAAAATATTTACCGAAACTTGCAAGTGATTCAGTAAGAATTCTATTCATTGTTAAGCTATTCATAAATACCCTCATATATTTAGGCTAATAAGTGCTATGCTTTAGGTTGGTTGTTTTTGCCTTTCCGAAGCTGCTGCCGGTAGCGATGCTTTTGCACTGAAAACGCGAGCTGAAAAAAAAAACGGTCATTATGTTATTAATGGCTCGAAAATGTGGATCACAAATTCCGCGGAAGCAGAAATCTTTTTGGTTTTTGCTAATCTCGGTATTTAATTTGCTAATTTGTATTATATACTGTTCAATAAAAATGTAACGCGATTTCATTTTTCTAGATCCCTCCAAGGATTATAAGGGCATAACATGCTTTGTTATAGAAAAGGATATGGGTGTTAAAGTTGCAAAAAAGGAATCTAAGGTTTGTCTTTAAATATCTTTGATAAATACTTGATGTCATAAAATTTTTATCCAGATATATATAATATCTTATTTGACAGCTTGGTATTAGAGCTTCATCGACATGCACTTTGAATTTTGATGATGTAAAGGTATAATCAACTCTTTGTAGATACTTTCATGATTATTAGTCAAATCAGACCTATCGACTATTCTGCTTAGGTTCCTGAGGAAAATTTACTCGGCGAGGAGTTTAAAGGTAGGCATAACTCGATGTTCACAAGTAAGTTTATCATACGTACTTCATTGAAACTTGTTTTTTAGGCTACAAATATGCTATTGAAATCTTGAATGAGGGTCGTATTGGAATAGCAGCTCAGATGATAGGTCTAGCCCAAGGTGCGCTTGATAATGCGCTACCTTACTTATTCCAAAGAAAAGCATTTGGTTCCTATATTGGAGAGTTTCAGGTATACAACAGGCATTGAACTTTTAATACACACCAAATTTCAAATATTTCTTGTTGGAATAACGTATACATATCTACTATTAGGCAAATCAACATCAATATGCGCAAGGTTATTAAAATATATGTAAATTTGATTTTGTTATTGTCAGTTAAAATAATTATATTTGTGGATTACAGCTGCCACTGAAATTGAAGCAGCTAGATTATTGACATATAATGCAGCTAGATTAAGACAAGAAGGAAAAGATTTTATTAAAGAAGCCGCTATGGCTAAATTATATTCATCTCAAATTGCAGAACGGGTCAGTTTAAAATCTCAAGTATTCTTTATGTTGAATGGTAATTACTATATTAACAATATTGCGCTAAATAGGTCGCATCAAAAGCGATTGAATTGATGGGAGGTGTAGGGTTCACCAGAGAATTTCCAGGTAAATATACTTTTATTTATTTATTTTATTGATTTATTTATTTCCTTTGGCTTTCAACGAAAACGCCAACTGATTTTTATTTGTTGCAGTTGAGAAATATTATAGAGACGCAAAAATTGGTAATATTACTTATTTTGACTTCATTTGACTTCATTTGATGGACTCTCGCTCAAATGTACATTTTTTACATTCGCAGGCTCTATATACGAGGGTACTTCAAATATTCAATTGACGACCATTGCAAAATTGATTTCTGCAAAGTATAAGTCCAAAGGAGCATGAATAATATTGGTCCAAATATGGGATACGTTAAGGTTTGTATTGCATAATTTATTTGTCATTTCATCTGGGTGATGATTTTCGTAGTCGAGTATAATTGTAAAGGGATAATAAAAATTGTCTTTATCTCCTGTAATACGTTTAAGTACTTGCTTAATTTTAATATAATTTGGCATTGCTTGTGAATCATTTTTATGTCAAGAATTCGCGAGCCGAAAATAATCATACAAAGGTAGACAAAGTAATTGCCCTATTTATGGTGTAGCATTTATAATAAAGCGTTGGTTTGTTATAATTTTTACGCTATTTAAGAAACAATGATTTAAAAGTATAAATTTGTCGATTTATAAAAATTATAAAATGTTAGATATATAAATTATATGAAAAATCTATGGACAGTTTTAAGAACAGTGTAAAGTTACGTGATTGTTAGTTAAGGATAGTTAAGCAGAAGTTAAAATTTTTCAGAACTTTGAGCAAAGATATCCTGATGACCACCTAACTAAATTTGAATTTTTTTTTGATTCTATAAATTTGTATAATTAAAATAAAAAAGTTTTATAAAAATTTTATTAGTTAAAATATTTTTTGAATAGGTGTTTTAAATGTTTCCGAACTTTGAATAAAGATATCAACTATCTAACTGAAATAAATTCTTTTGTGTTATGTAATGCTATACGATCCAATCGACTCATAATGAAACATGTTCGAAATTTATGATTTGACTAGCTGATGACATGTGATGTCACGTTAATGACACACCATCGTTTTATTTAAGATTCCCGAGAAGCATAGCGAGGACCTACTATTGATGAAACTGGTGTTGAATTGGTGAAATTGGTGACTAATTTACCAGAATATTTAGTTGCATTGCTACGTATTAGCTAAATAAGTTCCAATTAAAAAAATCAAATTATAATTTTATTACGTATCACCACTGTTTTCGAATGGTTGAAAATAGCAATGTTTACAAAAAAAATTTTTTTTACGAACATTTGAATATTTGATTAATTTACTATTATGTAGACTGGATCAATGCTCTAAACTAATCGAGTATTCGAGAGTATCGCAAAAAAAAATTTTTTGTAAATATTGCTATTTTCAACGATAAATACCTGATACTTTAAAATTTAAATAAGGTTGTTATGTGAAGGTGATGTGACGTAACGGTACAAAGATTTTGTAAATATATATGAGTGCCGTCAAAGGAAAACCTACAATAGTATATTTTGTGTACAGTCGTCTATGGTAAATCTATCGGACATAAATTTACCACAGATAACCATGAAAGTCCGATTGTAGGTTTTAGTTCCATCGAATAAAAAATATAGAGTATTGCTATTTCCACCCCCATTTTTGCTAATGCCACCCCAAATATCAAAAAGTGCTCTAAAAGAGGTATTTTTATTAAGTAAATCTTCTTTTGATCTTAATAAAAGTTGTTCATCAGGCCTTTCTGGTTCTAATAGTAGTAAAATCATTATACTCAGACCAGTAGTTCCTAAGATATATACATTCGAAGTTAGTTAACTTTCATTTACTTTTAAAAAAAAATTATCAGTCCAATTTGAACCAGAAAGGCCTGGTTCTACCCTGAAATCCCGAAAGCCATCTTTTCGAAAGGACATAATACTGACTAAATTGGCCAGCATTATAACTAATGCTGGCCAACTTTGTCAGTATTATGTCTTTTTCGGGAATCTATCTTTCGGGATTTTAAAGTAGAACCCTGGTAAACAACTTTTATTAAGATCAAAAGAAGGGTTTTCTTAATAACAATGCCTCTTCTGGAGCACTTTTTTAAATTTTGAGGGTGGCATTAGCAAAAATGGGGTGGAAATAGCAATACTCAAAATATATATAATATTTATACTGTATACTGTATTACTAAAATTACTATTCTAGTAATACACAGTATATGGTTTTATTATAATTTTTATTGTGAGTTATTATAAAAAATTCTATTGTAAAACTTATTATTTTGATAATACAAAGTATATAGTTAAGATTGTATAGAATTACTATAAAAATATTTATTTATAAACTTTCTATTCCAGTTATATACAGTATGCAGTGAAAGGTAAGTTAGAATACTTTGAATTATTATAATTTTTATCATAAGTTACTGTAAAAAATTCTGTTACAAAACTTATCTATTATTTTGATAATACAGTTATTTGTTAACATTAGAATTATTGTAATTTCTATCATGATTTACTATAAAAATTCAGTTATAGTAAGTGTTATAATTAAGTTAGTTTGTATTGGAATTATGATTTCTATTGAGTTGTGATTAAAAAAATTCTGTTGCACTTGCTATTTGTGATTTCTATTTTAAAAAAATTATAATTTTTATTGTAAGTTTTTTGAAAAAATTCTATTATTGAACTTATACTATTCTAATAGCACATAGTATGTAGTAAATGATAAGTTAGTTTGCTTTGAAATTGTTACAATTTTTATTATAAATTACTATAAAAATCTGTTGTAAAATATACTCCATTTTAATGACACACAATACCACTTAGCACTGTATATAGTACCCAGTGTGACAAATAATGCAGATAAATTTTTTAAATATTATTTATATTATATTTACTATGTAATATAAACAATTAAGTTATATACATGATTTTTAATTTTCACTATGTTGTGTCATGTTAGGTACTGTACACAGTGCATAATAAACAATATTTGATTAAGAATAAGTTAATTTGTATTGAAATCATTATGATTTTTATAATAAAAAAATTTATTATTGAATTTACTTACTATTTTAATAACACACAGTATACAATGAAGAATAGGTTAGTTGTCTTTGTAATTGTTATAATTCTTATCATGAGTTGTTGTAAAACTAAAAATGGTTTAATAATGTAATTGAATGAATAAAAAAAATAAAAACTTGTTAGGTAAAATATAGTTCCTAAAACATCACACTAGCATTATTGATTATTTGGTATTGTTATCATAGGAAAGGGTTAATCAGCACTTGCAGCCTTCTTATTTCCCAATTTTGTCTTATTATAAGAATGGTATACCTAGTAACATCTCAAGTGATGTATAAACATGGCTTTTTTAGGGGCTATTTTGCTAAACTAAAAAGAAAATAAAATAGAATGCTATTTAAAATAGTTAAAAGTAGTATAGGCAAAAGCTCTACACAAGTAGTATAGTATTAATCTTATTTAGATTGACATAATAATTTACATAAGTTGTTTTAGCAAAAACCATTCTGATTAAAATTTTGCAGGCAAATTTGTTTGCAAAATAGTTTAAGCTATTAGGTAGAGGTTTGCATTGGGTTCCAAAGCCTGGCTCAGCCCAACCTAGTCTGGTTTGCAAGCCGGGCCAGGTTTAACAATTAAATTTTGTAATTGCGAGCCAGATCAGGTTTAAAATTTTATAATTGTGGGCTGGGCTAGGCTGGGCCAGACCAAATTTAATAATTAAATATAATAATTACAAACTAGATTAAATCAAGAAATTTTTATTTATTAATTAAAATTATAAT